GGATCAGTGTCAGTGTGATGTTCATTTCTGGAGAAATAACACGCATCAGTATCAGGTTGCGGTTCATATCTGGTATAGTGACGTACATCAGTGACGTTATCAACTAAATTAATTAAAAAAAATAAAACAAAGTCATGTCATTTCGATTGAGTTATGTTTAATAAATTTATAACAGTGCGATAAATGTGATACCAGCTACATACACTACCGAGCTTCCTTACTATAAGTACAAGCAAACGGATATTGGGAAAAAATATATGTACACCTAGCACCATAAACTAGAAAAAAAGTACCCACTTTAGGTCTAGGTTTGTAAGTATGTAAACAGTGATATATATTGCACAACTATGATAGAATTTACTAATGATGGAATGTACAATTTCGGGACAGTTCTAAACAGATAACTTCGGCATTTTTACAGCGTCCTATAAATCATATTTCTAATAACTTGTTTGGTGTTACAACACAGTGTCTCCGATAATTACATTTGTTTTATTTTTACTACAACGAGTATATTCCCCATCTTAGTTGAGTATGTTTTGATTAAAATAAGTTGTCGTATGTTTCTTGTTGGAGCGAAGTATGAGCTACAAGAAAATTTTGGCAGAATCGTAGACAATTAAACCACGTCTCACATTATCTGTCGTGTTATAAGTTAAATACGACCAAAAACAACGCAGCTCTGTTACAAAAGTGTTTGTGATACGTCACAACGGGCCTACATCGACGCCGATAAAATGAATTCACTTTAACAGCACTCCGATGTAAAACAATAACCAATTCTATAAGGTAGATGTAGTGGTTTTTGTTTTGTTTCACTGTTACGAAGAATTATTGCGTATCCTGTGATCAGAGGAGGTGACAGGTCGTCTAATTCTCAAACAGCACTAGAGGAGGTGACAGGTCGTCTAGTTCTCAAACAGCACTAGAGGAGGTGACAGGTCGTCTAACTCTCAAACAGCACTAGAGGAGGTGACAGGTCGTCTAACTCTCAAACAGCACTAGAGGAGGTGACAGGGTGTCTAACTCTCAAACAGCACTAGAGGAAATGATATCTATATTGACCGAGGAAAGTCTTATTGGTATGTATAATCAATAGTATAATATGGAAGTAAACAACATTTCAAACATAACAACAAAAGTGAAATCTCAAATTTATCAAACATTTAACATTTTCACACATTCCTTAAGAATTAAAAAAAAATCATATATCAACAACTTTCTTTTGGATATAGACCACTCATGATAAGGAGAAAATAAAAATTAAAATCTTCAGATTTAATCAGCAGCTGTACCTTGTCCTTGTACAAGATAAAACCTATTTAAAGATAAGGTCACATTGTGAAGTTTTACAGTTTTTCTACAGAGTTTTTTTTTTTTTTTTTGGGGGGGGGGGGGGGGGTGTTAATGCCGTCATCTGCATAAAGGCTTCAAGCTGAGAACAAGTTTGTATTGTCTCTGCATCTGGGATCAGACATCGATAGCTTAGAAGGATCGTCGGCTAACTGATTTACATCTGAACCCAATGGCAGATTTATAAACCTGACAAGGGTAAAAAGAAAAGATCATCCGATGGTAAATTTATAACCCTGACAAGGGTAATCAAAGTACTGAAAGTACTGAGAGGCTAAACGTATTGAAAAATGTTCACAAATAACCGCTAAGCTATATTACTTTCCCCATACTCCTACAATTTGGAATGCAAAAATTACTAAAATAAGAGAACTAGAGGCTATTTTTCTTAATTTTAAGCGATTTCATACCTTCTTTAATTCTTATTTCAAATTTGACAATAATGTGAATAAATCAAAATAGGTAAAAAAATAGCTCTATGAGGAAGTTGACTTAATAAAACCTTTGAAATACCTAAGATGTTGCAATTACTATCCTATCAATGTGAGGATTTAAACAAATCGAAAGGACTTTATTATTTGTTATATTTGTAGTTGAGGAAAATAGATAAGGTATACACAGCATTTCAGATAGATAAAAGTGTAAGTAATTACATTAAATGTATTTACATGCCTGTCTTCCTTGAAGTATCATGGTTAGACTTTTCTTCCAGTAATTATGTCTATAAAGACATAGTTCTATGAGATTTAACCAGACTTCCATATATATACAAAATTTACAATATTTTCACTATAGCTACTACTATTTCTGATCTCCAATGCATTAGATAATGTCACCATGACACGCTAAATGAATAAATATGTTATGGAAATATTTCGTTTTAGTTATTTGGTAATTATAAACATGAATATTTTGGGGTTTTTTTTTAAATACGCGCTTTGTTTGAAGGAATATTTTCATTTCAAGGAACTTTGATACACATTAACAAACCTTGAGAAATTAGCACAATCAACCATCATCAAATAAAACTAAAAGGCAAAAAATATAAGTTATCACAAAGTCAACATCATGATCAGTACATTATTAAAAATATATCATTCATAAATCATGAGCACCTAATGTACCTTGCCTACGAAGCGCAAACTTTTTATCTTCAAAAACTTGAAAAAGTGTCATGGCGGTGGGTATGAAAATCCTGAAAAAGTGTCATATCGGCGGGTGTGCGCGTAGGACGAACAGTCCAATTTTGTGACGTCTAATGAGGTAAAGTGATTTTATATATTAAGACGATCTTGCCACAACGACATAGATTAAAGCAAAATTGATGTTCTGTTTGTAAGTTTTGTTTGTTTATAAGTGCTGTTAGTTGATAATTCAAACTAAGCCCCCAGACTAGCTTCTTATGTACGCTTACGTCATGTCGAGAATTCCGTAAAATATATTGTTCAAAATTTATCAATAGTTCAACCACACTGTGCTTTTTTTGAAATATATATTAATCGTATTGCTATTAAACAAGAGGCCCATGGGCCTTAACGGTCATCTGACAAAAAGCAAGCCAAACCTAGAAAGTGGGTTGAGGTCATTCATTTGAACAAACTTGGTAGCCTCTCCTCCAAGCATCTTACAGGCCCAATATCAGCACTCATGGACTTTTGCTTGTTGAGAAGAAGTCGTTTGTATATTTTAACATATTTGACCCCTGTGACCTTGAAAGTGGGTTGAGGTCATTCATTTGAATAAACTTGGTAGCCTTTCCTCCCAGCATGCTACAGACCCAATATCGGCACTCATAGACTTTTGCTTATTGAGATGAAGTCCTTTGTATATTTTAACATATTTGACCCCTGTGACCTTGAAAGTGGGCCAAGGTCATTCATTTGAACAAACTTTGTAGGGCTCCATGCCAGCATGCTATGGGCCAAGTATTAGCCCCCTAGGCCTTCTAGTATTTGAGAAGAAGTTATTTAAAGATTTTGACATATTTGACCCCTGTGACCTTGAAAGTTGTTCAAGGTCATTCATTTAAACAAACGTGATAGCCCTTCATCCCAGCATGCCACAGGCACAATATCAGCAATCTGAGCCTTTTGGTTATTGAGAAGAAGTTGTTTAAAGATTTTAACATATTTGACCCCTGTGACCTTTAAAGTGGGTCAAGGTCATTCATTTGAACAAACTTGGTAGTCCTTCATCCCAGCATGTCACAGGCCCAATATCTACACTCTGAGCCTTTTGGTTAATGAGAAGAAGTTGTTTAAAGATTTTAACATATTTGACCCCTGTGACCTTGAAAGTGGGTTGAGGTTATTCATTTGAATAAACTTGGTAGCCTTTCCTCCCAGCATGCTACAGACCCAATATCGGCACTCATAGACTTTTGCTTATTGAGATGAAGTCCTTTGTATATTTTAACATATTTGACTCCTGTGACCTTGAAAGTGGGCCAAGGTCATTCATTTGAACAAACTTTGTAGGGCTCCATGCCAGCATGCTATGGGCCAAGTATTAGCCCCCTAGGCCTTCTAGTATTTGAGAAGAAGTTATTTAAAGATTTGACATATTTGACCCCTGCGACCTTGAAAGTTGTTCAAGGTCATTCATTTGAATAAACTTGGTAGCCTTTCCTCCCAGCATGCTACAGACCCAATATCGGCACTCATAGACTTTTGCTTATTGAGATGAAGTCCTTTGTATATTTTAACATATTTGACTCCTGTGACCTTGAAAGTGGGCCAAGGTCATTCATTTGAACAAACTTTGTAGGGCTCCATGCCAGCATGCTATGGGCCAAATTGCCCCCTAGGCCTTCTAGTATTTGAGAAGAAGTTATTTAAAGATTTGACATATTTGACCCCTGCGACCTTGAAAGTTGTTCAAGGTCATTCATTTAAATAAACTTGGTAGCCTTTCCTCCCAGCATGCTACAGACCCAATATCGGCACTCATAGACTTTTGCTTATTGAGATGAAGTCCTTTGTATATTTTAACATATTTGACCCCTGTGACCTTGAAAGTGGGCCAAGGTCATTCATTTGAACAAACTTTGTAGGGCTGATGTCAGCAATGGGCCAAGTATTAGCCCCCTAGGCCTTCTAGTATTTGAGAAGAAGTTATTTAAAGATTTTGACATATTTGACCCCTGTGACCTTGAAAGTTGTTCAAGGTCATTCATTTAAACAAACTTGATAACCCAGCATGCCACAGGCACAATATCAGCAATCTGAATTGAGAAGAAGTTGTTTAAAGATTTTAACATATTTGACCCCTGTGACCTTTAAAGTGGTTCAAGGTCATTCATTTGAACAAACTTGGTAGTCCTTCATCCCAGCATGTCACAGGCCCAATATCTACACTCTGAGCCTTTTGGTTAATGAGACGAAGTTGTTTAAAGATTTTAACATATTTGACCCCTGTGACCTTTAAAGTGGGTCAAGGTCATTCATTTGAACAAACTTGGTAGAGCTCCATGCCAGTATCCTCTGTGCCAAGTATTAGCCCCCTAGACCTTCTAGTATTTGAGAAGCACGGCGGACGGCGCACGGCGCACGGCGCACGGCGGACGACGACGGACGAAGCATGATGACTATAGGTCATCGGACCCTTCGGGTCCAGATGATCTAAAAAACAAACTAATTTTGGATGCTTTTAAAATAGCGATTTGAAAAATCGCGGCATTATTTACGCAGAAACTGCCGCTAGAGGGCTCTAACTATTTTCGATATTTCAGCCAATGAGAAGGCCATGATCGGTAAATTTTGTCTGAAAGGCCGTCGCAATAGGCTATGCGTACGGAGTACGTTTAGCCTAAAAATGATCACTCGATGGTAAATTTAGATCTGAACCTGACAAGGGTAAAACAGGACCCCGATGGCAGATATAAAAAAAAATCTGACATGGGTAAAAAGAAAAGATCATCCGATGGTAAATTTATAAACCTGACAAGGGTATTTATAAACCTGACAAGGGTAAAAAGGATATCCCGATGGTACATTTAGATCTGAACCTGACAAGGCAATGCTATTTCAAAAGCATAATGGCGCTAATGATACAATATGACATAGAATTAAAAGTATAGAAGGCAGATATATATAGAATCTATACAAATCTGATTAGTTGTTATTTGAAATAGTCAAAATGTTTGATTTCTTGCGAACACATCAACAATATATAACGTTCAACGTCCTCCTATAGCCATCTTCCGTGGGCCTTTATTCTCCTCTTGACTATCTTGGCCTTCGTCACCAGCAGGACTGGGTACATAAGTATCTAAGAACGAGGATAGGATTTCTACGTACTCTTTAGGGTGATAGTGATAGTGACTCACGTGCGGTGAGTCCTGCCAACATTTACTCATTACTGGAATATTCCGTTGGTAAAAGTCTTGTATAACACCTTCTATTCTTTCCGGATTTCCGACCGGATCTGCCTTGGAGTACAGAAAAAGTGAAGGCACGTGGTACTTATTGAATTTGAAAGCTTCCGAAGCTTTAAGAAATTTTGAAACACTCTTTTTAAAAGTTGCCATGTATAGATGTAACGAGTTCCTTATAAAAAACCGAAGGGCTGGATTTTTTGTCAAGACTTTGGAAAAACCTACTGGAATACCGTCGAAGTCAACCGGACTATCAAACACTTGTGCTATGAGTAGGTTACGGGCTACAGTCTCCTCAGTGTTTAGTTTCACGTGAAACTCGCCAATGAGATACCCTCCGACTGAAAACCCGTGAAGGAGTATTGGCTGTTTTCCAACTACACGTGTCCTATCATCAATATGCGCGAGAATGCTGCTGGCTATTCCCTGAGCCCTTATTGGTTTTAAAATGTCCATTGGATAACCCTACAATGACGAATGTATATATATATATACGTGAGTAATGTCAAAACATCCAAAGGTCACATCTTATCAAAATACTGATCCACTAAATACTATCACACAACTCCCACAGTGAAAGGTGGTCAGACATAATCTACCTTAATGCTGACACCTATCTGTTTGTATCATTATGAAATAAATGATAGCATAGCGTGATCTAATAGTAGGTATGTAACGATATAACATGTACGGCAATACAAAAATACTTTATCGTATTTTGGTAGACAAAACATGTAATATATCACATTTTAGTGTTACCTTTTATCGGTTTCTTGAAGATTATTAATAAATAAAAAGGGACTAATAGTAATGATGAAAATCGACCGCCTCGTCATTTCGTTACGATGGTATTATAACTGATAAGGACCTGAACATATGCATTTACATCTGTTACCACTGACGAAAGTATTGCTCTACTTACTGACACAGTGAGAACGTTGTAGCCCCTATTTAGGTAATACTCCTCGTATTTCTCTAAGTGTTTCCGCTTAGCAAGCATCCATCCAAACAACAACATGAGAGGACGCGCGTGCTGTACGACGCCATCTTGTTTAAGAGCTCGTAACTCGAGGTTGCGGTCAATTTTCTGCGTCCAAATTTCATTCATTCTGTTCTGACTGGTTGTACAATAGCGACATGTCTTCTGCATCAGAGGTATTAGCCTCGACCCCTGAAAACCAAGACAAAATTGAATAAAAGAAGCACAAACGTCAAAATAGCAAGTTAACACATGAATTGAATACTCGATTTATACAGCATGTTAAAGTATTGAATCGAACGGTCTGCATAACGTAGGCGAAATATTTAAAAAGAGATCTCCTAGGGGGCGCCCATAGTTGCTTGGTCTTTAATTGGTTTCTAAACATTGGGCTGGACTTTTCTCTTTCGTTTCTCTACTTTTCTTCGCTCATCATTATATTTTTTTAAAAAATTGATAATTCAATCCAAGATGGCCACATAGCAGTGATTTTCTTTCTTCCATTAGTCCTGAATTCGAAAGACACAATTAGGGACCAAGGTGAACCTACATTATGAAATCTGAGAACGATCCATTGGTCACTTCTCCAAAAACAACAATACAAATTGGCCGCCTTTTGCTGTATAGTCGGAAAAATCAGTGCAAAGCTTGGGGCCAAAATAGCCAAGAAATAGCGATAACAAACTGATGATGATAATGATATCTGTCATAATCAAAGATGGCCGCCTGTCCGCCATTTTTTTTCTCGGGTCAGTCTCAAAATGAGAAACTACAGGGTCTAAGGGGAACTTGAAAATGGTCCATCGAGAGCTTCTGAAGAAATAACAATTGACAACTTGTACCGCCAAAATCCAAGATGACCGCCTTTCTGCCATTTTATTTTTCGGAAAAAAGTGAAAATGCTCAACCAGGAACGAAAGGGGAACCTACGTAAGACCAAACATTTCTACCTCTAAAATTAAATGTCAAATATTCACATTTATCATGGTGTTGTTGACATTTGTATTTTTAATGACTATGCTCATTTTAGAGACGGATTGGACGTATTCATGAAACTGATAGAAATGCATCCATCACGGATGCGGTAAGTATAACAATTATTCCCGCAATGTACACAGACAGCTTGGCTTCATTTCAAGGCAAGTTTATTTGCCTTACTAACCTTTACAGACCTTATAATTTGTTATTTCTAAATTATCCCAGCGTGTGCGAGGGAGGGAGGGAGGTGGTGCGCGTGTGCGTATGTATTTTTTCTGCTTCGACTTAAAAAATCCATTGCGCCACCATTACTAGTTACACAAACAACAGTTGGTACCGCCCTGCGCTATCCAGTACCATCCACACCAGCCCGGTACTGTTAAGCCGGGCCGTACCGGGCGTACCAGGCTGTTGTTATTAGTGTACCTAGTAATGGAGGCGCAATCGAATTTTTAAAGTCAAAGTGGAAATAGAAAATCACACTGGAACGACTTAAAAATAGTAAACTCTAAGGCCCGAAAGGTTAGTTAGGCAGATAAACTCGTTTTGATTTGAACTGTACCATTAAAACAATAAATTCTTTGTTATTAGCTTGCTATATACTGAAAAAACTATATGCAAGCAGTACATCATTGCAGCCCATAAAAAATGACCAGCAGGTATCAGAAATAACAAGCATAGTAATATTACTTATGTAATAAATGTCCCAAGTAGGCTCCAAGATGATAGGGAAGTTGTCCATTTCTTTGGATACATTGTAGGGAATGTTGATCTTGGACACCATATTATCACGTTAAAGACTGCGTATCTTATTGGTTTAAGATCATTAGCTAGACCATCATGCAAATAACATACTACATACAAATATTGGGCAGCTTCATTTTCCAAATTGTTTGTAAATGACTGCATAAGAGTGCCAATTTTCTAAAACAAACATGATTTGTCACCATAACTTAAAATAGAAGATGCCTATTCTTCTGGACCACCTGGTCTTATTCTCCTTGTACTTTTTCAGGGAATCTTCAAGTAGATATTGTCTTTGTTTCAATTTCACACTTGTTTTGCTGGTTCTACAATTCTGTTGACATGTTTATATATTCTTTGTTCTCTAAAACTTGTCGCAAGATATTTTATTTCTCTTGTATTATCATTTTTTAACATCCTTACAGTGACCTTGAACCTTGAAATTTGCAAGATGTGAATATCTTTTAGGTTGTGAAATTTGAAAGAAGAATGAGGGTAATGCAAAGGAAAACACACCCATGCAACTATCCGTTTTTTGACTGTGACCTTGATCTCGGACATCTGACCCTGAATTTCTTAAGAAACCGAATACTCATAAGGGATACATGTTCCAAATTTGATTAAGGTATACTAACTGTTTTAGTCTCAATGCGTTTACAAGGTAATCATATTGTACTTATGCAAGTACTGTGACCTCTACATTCAATCCTCAACATCATTACTATATCCTCTCCACATTGCCAAGGGATAACTGAAACTGTAATCCAAATGATAACTAATACCCCCAACACCCACAGCCTTAGTTATCTCTCCATGGTGACCTTTTGCACAGAAACATCCTCTGAAACACAGCAGCATGTGCACACATTCCCCGACATTCCTGCGAAGTTTTGTTGAAATTGGTCCACAGGTTTGGAATATATTTCGAGAGAAAATGGTGCATGCACATCTACACATTGTCCCGAATATTACTGTAAAGTTTCATTGGAGTTGTCCAGACAAGATGTGTCTACAGACAGACAAACAGATGGATGGACGGATAGACAACCTGATTCCAGTTTACCCACCTTTTGGTGGTATAAGAATGCACAAGAGTGCTTACAAATTCCATGTGGACAAACATCATTGAAAAAAAAATAATAATAAAAACATGATAAAGATGCTTATATCTTTTTTTATTTAGATTTTAGATACAGTATTCTTTCCATGCTTTGATCAGCAATGTAATCTTGTCATGTCAATATCCTAGTACAAGATTGCATACACAAAATTGTTGTAGGTAGACTTTTAAGATGAATAAAAAAAAATACATGCCTAAGTTTAAATGAAGGTTTTAAACAGAAGTCGTAATATGTTCAGTATACAGTGATTTTTCTAGACAATTGTAAACTATAAACTCGGTATACAGCGATCTTTTCTACACATTTGTAAACAACAAACTCAGTATGCGGTGATCTTTTCTACAAAAAGTTTTTTTATATATATTGTATACACTAAACTCAGAAAAAAAATAAATAAGTAAACCTTTCTATGTACACTACAAACTCAGTATACAGTGATCCTTTCTACACAAACTTGGTATAACTAGTGAATCTTTCTACTTAAGTAAATTGAAGATTGTATACAAATTTACTACAAATGCAGTATACAAAGATCTTTTCCACATTTTTAAAGTTTCCGCGATTTGTTGATTCTTCTTTTGTGATGGTAAATATATTGCCGCCTTTAGAGAGTACTGTGACCTTAAAAGGCAACATGGTTGTTAGCATCTCCTCAAGTGAATAATCATCTTCAACATCTAATTGGAGGCCGGAAAGAAGGACGTTTTTCTCCACCATAAGGTCCTCAAATCCATTGTTGGTCATAATAGCCAATTCCAAGTTAGAAGAATCAATAGAGATACCTTCTACCATTCCAGATTTCATTTCTTCAGGGACATCCACCTGCTGAAAGAGAGTAAGGGAAATAAATAACTATATTTCATTATTGCTATGATTATGTGCAAGAAATATACACTTCTGTATAAGCTTATAGTCTTGAACTTCCCAATAGGAGTCTATATTAAATATACTGTAATTACTTATTTTGACGTTCAGGACTGTCAAATTATTAAGCGATGGACAGCTAGCAAAATAATAATATCTCGACCATGGTCATACAGAGATTGAATCATAAAGTTAAAATATGTGCAGTATGATAATTTGATAATTTATTTTGACGTTTGTATTTCAAAAATCATTTTGACTTGAAAAGTAATGTGTAATTTAATTAATTACATTGGACCGTCATGTAATGGTAATCTAATTATTTTGAAAATACCTTTAATGGCAATGCCATTTTCATAACATAATTTAAATTTAATTAATTACATCATCATGTAATTGAACCCATGCATGTTACAAACATTAGCTGTCCTAACTGATCCTAAAATTAACTTTGGCTACTTCTATCACAGAATTAACTTTGGCTATGTCTATTACAAATGCCACATTTAGCTACAATAGAGGTATTTCAAAAATGTATGTCATTGTAGCTGAAAGGACATAATTAATGGTTACTTAACCAGAACTACAGTTCTGAACAAACCACTGCAAAGCCTGGTTAACTGTACTAAGAAAATGTCCTCTCAATTAATCAATTTCATTGATTATTGACATCTTATTGTTGTACTTACGGTCACTTGAGTTTCTTAAAGTTTCAATTTGACTTTTAATAAGGCCCAAACCATGGAAACAAAACTCTAAAACGCTAAAAAACAGTCGACAATTAATGACAAATATTGAGTCTAGGGCTGTGTAAAATTGATGAATAAAAAGTGTTGAACTGAAAGTGGATGCAGTTGACATAATACTGAAATTTCTGAGATGAACAAATACAGTACATATATTAAAAGTTCAGGCATAATAAGAATTGTACCAATTACACTTTACACATTCACACTGGGACCTTACACTTTACACATTCACACTGGGATCTAACACTTTGCTAGGTTTATCCTAATCTTTATTAAAACACCTTCCGGGATTCAGATGTTAACTGACATCTTCATTATTCCCAATCTTTATATTGCAATCGTTCACATGCATCACTCTTCAACAGAATCAATGACACATCATGTCAGAAAGACAAAAACTAAATTTAAGCTAAAACTATATATATTAACTTCACATGTAAACCTTACAATTGGCATACCTGTAGAGTTCCCGTACGATTTCATACCCTGGCCTTGGGGTACTTATAAATTATCTCCGATTAAAAATTTGAAAGAGCTAGATCTACAATAGCACGGACAGTGACCGATATTTTAAAGTAAAATCGATATATTACACAGATAGATTCCTAGGTCTATTCACGGTAACGTAAGTAGTACAGTACAATATTACGGATAAGTTTTTTTCTGTTTAATTTCCGATCTGTTGGGCCACTGACAGAAGTGACTGCAATGAGACCATTATGAAACGATCATTCAA